TAATTAGTAGAAGAAATATGGAGGTACTTTAGTAAACTACTTTTAGTAACTACTAATACCACATTGGGGAAAAACTACTAGTCATATTTAAAACCTTAGCTAAAGGGGTAGTTGACCCAAAAATGAAAATTCCAAACCTGGAACAACTTAAGGGTGGGTAAATGATTACAGAATTTTCATTTTTGGCTGAACTATCCTTTAAGTAAAAGTATTATCTTGCATAATCTAATATACTTAAGGGTTTGAGAGTAAAAGTAAAGGTATACATTATTGTTCTGAAAAAGAATTCGTTAGGATGGTTTTGCATTAATATTAGTGCTGCACTACTGTGTATGTTGCATTACTTCTGAATATGTTCAAGGTTATTCAATTTAAAGTGACCTACTAAATATACTGTTGGGTAGTTTAATCTACAACAATGCATCATGTTGTAAAAGACCATATTTTTGTAGTGTTGCTGTCCTGTGAGGAAAAAAAGAAAGATTAGTACTACATATTTGTTTTATTCACAGTTTTATTTTTATGCTTAACTGCCTAAAAAAATGAGGAAATCCTGAGAAGGCGGAGCATCCTTCATGCACTTCGGAGGCCTGGTCTTCACAGTGTGCACACTCAACTTTGGGAATTGTTCCATTTGGGACAGGGCCTCGAATAAATATATTTTATTCGTTTAACTTCCGGTAAGGATCAGCCAGTCAAAATAAAAGCTAGGATAAAATGTTTGTTTATGAACCAACTCATTACTTCTTCTTATTAATATTTTTATTTTATGACAAATTTGTTTCTTCGCTGCGGTAAAATCGCTTTCCATAGCATATAATACCTCGGCATATCATATTGAAATACAATTATCCAAAGTAAACATTTGCTTGCACTGGTGTTGATTCCATTTCTTTTTTTACTTTCCTTTTTAATTCACAGCACATGGAACATTTTTGTAATCAATGCCACAAGAACAAGATGTATCACTAGTCACATTATTAACAACATTAGCTGCCAAATGTAATGTTTTAAAAACACTGAAATGAATGTTATTTGTTTCCGCACTTTTTTTGGTTTTAGTTGGTTCTCAAAGAATTTTGTTTTGGGAAGTATCCACTTGTTTTTACGTACATTATATTTTCTAAATATAACTGCATAATGGATTGTTCTTTACGTTTCAAATATTGCCTTACATGGGACTAAAATACGCACCAGGAAGAAACTTTCATTCACAACTGAATTTTGTAAGCAGAAGAAATAATATACCAATACGAAATATTATTATTGATAATATCATCCTATATATATTTAGTATTAAATTACAAACAGCGCGTCATTCAATGACATTTATAGGCTGCCTTCCAGTTCCGAAGTATTAAGGACATATAGGTGCATGACAGCGCAAAATGTAGCAAACATGTGACATAACTACATTGGGGTTATGCAGACATTTAGAGCAAAATGATTGTTGGAAAATTCACACCGGATATGCACATTTACATTTGATAGCCAGACACTTGTCATGCCAAAGGAGCAATAGAAAACAGTCCAGTCATGACAAAATGGCGAGCGGAGTTGGAAGTGAGTATTGCTCTCTATATTTTCATCATACGCATGCATGTACGGTGAATGTCCTGCATGGGGCGGAGGGCAGATTAGAATTGATGCATGTCAAGCGCGTGCATAGGTGTTACGGGATTTGACACGTAGAAGTCATTGATTACAATGACGCTCATTGGCCGAATCGCTGGACACTATACACAAATGACACATTTATGACTAGCTTTCGTGAGCGCATCACATTTCCCATCTATTAGAGGAATGTGAGATGCCGATGCGTCGACTGTCAAAAATGGCCCCGTTATTAGTTGTCAAACTGACTCTTGTGTAATGTATAAAACCACTCTTGTATAATGCGTCCCGCAGCGCAACACATACAGATGTGCTTGAATGCCGTTTACACTTGAAATGCATTCTTCTCTTTATATTCTGCCTTTTTATTCTTTGGACAGAACATAAGTTGCTATTGGGCCCAACAGAGCCATGGTCAATTAGAGAAAAGCTGTGCCTCGCCTCCTCTGTTTGGTCTTCCAAAAGAGGACACGACTAGAAATCAGTGGTTAAGTTTGTTTTTACAACACTGTTCCAGAACAGTTCAAATCAAATATTCAGATGTGTGCAGCGCATTTTGTGGAGGACTGTTTCCTGATCCTGGAAGAGTAGACTACAATGCCGGCTGTTCTGACTCACAGTCTGTAAGTACGTTTTCATATTTAAAGGATTTGCCACTGACGATTCAAACGTGAGTTTTAAGCAGTGTAGAGTAGCGCTTGTTGTTTGTCATGTCGTTGTTTGCCAATCACAGCACACCTCGCTTTTCAGACCGATGAGCTTTGTAAAAATCGACGCGTTTCAGAAAGGCGGGGCATAGAGGAGAAACAATAATGTACAGTATGTGGAAAATAATGTGTTTTTTAACCTTAAAACGCATAAACACATTTCATTACACCAAATACACAAAATAATGTTATTTTTAGCAACATCATATGACCCCTTTAAATAATAAAAGATACTTTAAATGTGAAATTAAAACCGCCAGTAAGTGGCAGCAAGTCACTGTTAATAAGTGAGTCATTGCGAATGAACCGAATCATTCAAAAGGTTTATTCATTCAGGAACGAAACACCATCATGTTGCTCAGAGACGCAAAACAGCGTTGTGGCTGTGTGTGTTTGGAATTATTTTTGTTGTGGAAATAGAGCAAAAATAGGCAATATGGTGTCTAAAACGTAAGTCTCTTAATTAACTTCTTGTTTATTGAATTTGTAGTTATGGTAATTTTTGGAGAAAAACGGCACTTCGTGTGAAACTGATTAACTAGGCTGTATGAAGTTGTATAAATATATACATTTTCTGCCCCCATGTCTTGAATTTTGTGATAATTCTAAATGCATTTCAATAGACTGAATCATGCAGTGAATGAACGCACTCTAATTGCGCACGCGCACTATTCTAGACTTCATGTTTGCTTGTACTCTGTAGGGGTGTTTTGAATGTTTTTTGCAAAATACTCAATAATGTCAAATCGCACATCATTAAAACAACAATTACGATATTATCGCAGACTATATATATCGCACACCCGCACTATATATATATATATATATATATATATATAGAGAGAGAGAGAGAGAGAGAGAGAGAGAGAGAGAGAGAGAGAGAGAGAGAGAGTCAAGTATAATTTAGTCAAGTAAGAAATTTGGTTTACAAAGCTCATATGGTATTTTCCTAATAAAATTTAAAATTGCATAATGTATTTTTCTTTACATTCCACAATATATGAAATGGGACTAAAATAAGAACCAGCAAAGAAACTTTCATTCACAACTGATACAGTTTTTTTAGAGATATGTAAATTACTTAAAATTATACTTAACATTTATTTCAGTTAATTATAAAGGACACTCTTGAAAACCACTGGTTTAATTTCTATAAAGCAAATCTGGATTTTATTTTAACAATGCACCATCACAGTCATGTGTTTTGTACATGGGTGTTGTTTTAGGGTGTCTGTGAGCCGAGCCATTAAGCCATTTGCAGAACCTGGACGCCCTCCTGACTGGTTCTCTCAAAAGGTATTGGGAGAGCAGCAGAACAATCCAACAACATGGAAAACTTAAAGTAAATGTGCACCCAAAAATTAAAAATGTACTCATCCTCAGGCCATCCAAGATGTAGAGTTTTTTTCTTCACTGGAACAGATTTAGAGAAATTTAGCATTACATCACTTGCTCACCAATAGATTATCTGCAGTGAATGGGTGCCGTCAGAATGAGAGTCCAAACAACTCATAAAAAAATAATTTGTTGTAATCCACATGAGTTGCATACAATGAAAGTGGATAAAAACTGTCAAGTCCAAAAGAGGACAAAAGAATAACATAAAAACATAAAAAAAAATTGTCCATAAAACTCATGCAGTGCATTCCATATCTTCCAATACTTTGTGCTTTGTAATTTTTGGGTAAACTCTCCCTTTAAGGATTAATTCGTTAAACATTATGTGGTAAATACTTATAACACACTCTTTCTTTTCGTCCCTGTTTCACAGCATTGTGCCTCACAATACTCTGAGCTCCTGGAGACAACTGAGGCCCCAAAGTGAGTCCACTTTCTGGTCATTTGCGTTCCAACATCCTCTCCGTTCCTGATAGCACATAATGGTGAGCGTATATGTGTGCACGTTCACAGGAGAAAGCGAGGTGAGAAAGGGGAGGTGGTTGAGACGGTGGAAGATGTGATCGTCCGCAGGTTGACAGCGGAGAGAATAGAGGAGTTGAAGCGATTGATCAAGGACACACAAGAGAAGCACAGGTACCAAATGTTCACATGCTTACTTTGACCAACACCTGCTGTCTGCTGACTGTAACTCTATTGCTGTGTCCCTTTAGGAAACTGAAGAGAGAAACTGAACTCATCCAGGCAGGACATCTGGACTCTAAACTTGAGGAGCTATGGGAGGAAATTGTACGGTAAGAATCACTGTACCAGCTATTTCCATCGTCAACCCAGGCAGTTTTATCTTTCTAATATACCAAATTTAAAGGAATAGTTCCACTGGAAAATGTAATTTGTGACCCTGGACGACAAAAGCAGTCATAAATAGCACAGGTATATTTGTAGCAATAGCCAACAATACATTGTATGGGTCAAACTTATATAATAATTATTATTAGGATATTAAGGAATGTTCCATGAAGATATTTTGTAAATGTACTGCCGTAAATATATCAAAAGGTAATTTTTGATTAGTAATATGCATGGCTAAGAACTTCATTTGGACAACTTTCTCAATATTTTGATTTTTTTTTTGCACCCTCAGATTCCAGATTTTCAAATAGTTGCATCTCAGCCAAATATTGTCCAATCCTAACAAACCATACATAAATGGAAAGCTTTTTTATTCAGCTTTCTGATGATATATAAATCTCAATTTGGAAAATTTACTCTTATGACTGGTTTTGTGGTCCATTTATATAATTTATTATTTATATGCTTTCTTTACATTTTAGTTTATTTTTTTAGTTTAGCTTAGTTCAGTTTAGTTTTTAGTTTTTTTTTTAAATTAACAGATATTTTTTATTCACAACAGTTCATAGTGACTATCATTATGTTCCTCACATAAAGCTATCATATGTAAATCATATCAATGTAGCGCATGATCATATCATTTATATACTATTGTTGCATTTATTAGTGTTTTGAGCTTTTTTATATTTTAAGTTTTTATTTTAATTTTAGTTTGTTTGAATAAGTTTGTGCCTTTTGTTTTTTATATATTTCTATTTAGCTTCAATTTATTATTATTATTATTTATGTTTTAATTTTAGTAACTTAAATGTATTTATCTCCCTTTTAGTTAACAATAACACTGAAATTGACAATCTTTTGTGCTTGACAGCCCATGCTCACTATGAACTGTTGTTGCATGTTAAAGGGTTAGTTCACCCAAAAATGAAAATTAGCCCATAAATTACTCACCCTCAAGTCATCCTAGGTGTATATGACTTTCTTCTTTCAGACGAATCCAGTCGGAGTTATATAAAAAATTGTCTTTGATCTTCCAGACTGTTTAATGGCAGTCAGTGGGTGTTGCAGTGCATCAGTCCAAAAGAAGTGAAATTAAAAGAGCCCATCCATAAAAAAAAATGTCTCACACGGCTCCAGGGGGTGAACAAAGGCCTCCTGTAGCGAATCGATGCGTTCTTGTAAGAAAAATATCCATATTCAAAATGTAATAATCACTTTAATGTAGCTTGCGCCAACAGTTGTACACGGAAGCAGTTCCGGGCGGATGACGTATGAGGTCGGCTTTTAAACAGCTTGAAAGATCAAAGACAATTTTTAATATAACTCCGACTGGATTTGTCTGGAAGAAGAAAGTCATATACACCTAGGATGACTTGAGGGTGAGTAATTTATGGGCTAATTTTCATTTTTGGGTGAACTAACCCTTTAAGATCCTTTAAAAATTTCACAGGTTTGCAACAATAAGAAGCTGAGTAAATAATCAGAGTCTTTTCAATTTGATGAACTACCCTTTTTAAGATTGTAAGTGAATGTTTGTCAGTTTAGCGATTTAAATTCTGTATGTCCATTAGGAGCAGAAAACAAGAGGAAGAGGAAGCTGAGGTGAAAAGAAAGGCCACAGATGCAGCGTACCAGGGTATGTAAAGAAAGCCCACAAAGTGTCATTAGCGTTGTTTGGTTTGGTCCCATTGTCTTAAAGTAATTAATGCATATTGAAGTGTTTAATACATAATTGGGCAAATCTGAGATTCTATATGAGGCAAAAACAGTTATTCATGAATGTAGTTTCAGTTAATCATAAATGCTTAATAGTAAGAGCTGTTTATCTTTTCTTTTCAGCCAGGCAGGCAGTGAAGAACACTCCTAAACGTGTGCCCAGTGTGACAGTGCGCTCCCCCTCTGGGGCCTGCTCACCGAGCCTGGATTTTCCCATTGGAGATCCATCTGAAGATCCTAGCACCACTGTGTGTTTCTTTGTTTTGAATTTTTAGATTTGAATTCTGTCATTTGAATTTGTTATTTATTTTAATTATCATCCCTCCCTGGTGCAGGGGGCAGGATCAACAGTGTTTGTGCCTCTGACGGAGCTGCCAGGCCCTGGAGTGGTAGAGGCGAGTTTGGGGTCACTGCTAGATGAGTCAACACAGAAGAAGCTTTTGGGTCAGAAAATCACACCACCTCCCTCTCCTCTCCTGTCAGAACTGCTGAAGAAAGGCAGTCTTCTGCCCACCAGCCCCAGACTGGTCAGGATTCCTCACATTTATTTATAAATCAGCAGGCCTGCATAGAATCTGCACCTGACCTACATAAATCTAGTTGTGAGATTCCTTCACAAAGTTCTACACTTATCCTGACCATTATATTTAGTCTATTTTAATAATATGTTTAGCTGCCAATAAGATCTGTTTAAAATTGTATCTATTCTGCTGGTTTTGAGTGAAGAGAATGCAGAAAAATGTGCAGATTCTATGTGTTCAAAAATTTGGGGTCGGTAAGATTTTTCATTGTTTTCTGAAAAATACAGGAAAATAGTGAATCATTATTACAATTCAATATATCTTTTTTACATTTTTATATATTTCAAAAGTGTAATTTATTCCTGTGATAGCAAAGCTGAATTTTCAGCATCATTACTCCAGTCTTCAGGGTCACATGATCCTTCAGAAATCATTCTAATATGCTGATTTGCTGTTCAAGAAACATTGAAATGGTTGTACTGCTTAATATTTTTGTGAAAATACTGAGATGTTTTGGAGGATTCTTCGATGAATAGATTTGCGTGTATTGAAAAATATATATTTTTACAACATTACACATGTATAGTCAATTTAATGCATCTTTCTAAATAAAAGTATACAAAGTAAATAAATAAATAAATTTAATAATAATAATAAATGACTGATCCCAAACTTTTGAACAATACTGTAGTAGTGATAAATTGTGCCCTAACCATATGTTATGATAAATTGACAATAAATAAATAAATAAAAAAGTAAAAGAAAAGAAATAAAAGCAGGGTTTCTAAAAAGTGTGATTTTCAGGTGTTGAAAAATCCTGAATATTAATAAAATATTAAGAGGTCATTAAAAAGAATTGTGCAAATTGATATAGTCAATATAAATTTGCTCACTTTCTGTATGCTCAATATAATTAAAGAGGTCATTCCAAAGAGAAAGAAAAAAATTGAAATCGCATCATATGACCCCTTTAAATCCTAATCAGTAATATAAATGATTTCTTTGGCTAGAAATTACTCTTTGTGAGAGCAATCTCTAAAGTGATACAACTGTTTCATCCACACATATCAGAGCTGTTTTGCTTCTAGAATATTATTGTTGGAATATGTTTTTTGAGTCAGTGGCTTTTAAACGGTGGCAATTTAAAAAAAAATCCTTATTGCAGGCAGTTGAGGGAGAATCTCCGTCCAGTCAACTTACAGGGAGTCACGATAATCAGATGATGACTTCTTCACTACCTGCCTCTCAGGCAGCAACAGGTATGAGTTCATACACACTTGTGTGTCTAGCAGTGTCACAGTTTAGCAGCTGAGCAGTAGAAGCAAAGTGACAAATTCTGTCCCATCAGCATCTTTGTGTTTTCTGTCTTTGTGTATTAGAGTCATGTTATGGGAATCTCTTCCAGCTTAATGCCTAGCCTGCTCTCTCTGTGCACCGTGTGTGTGTGTTGTACGCTGTGCCACACTTGTGTTTGTACACGTGTGTCTCAGGTGCTCCCACACTGTCTCGTCTGCTGGAAGCTGGTCCTGCCCAATTTCCCTCACAATTGAGCTCATTGGCCACTGCAGACTCCGCCCCCACCACTGCCGCCTCTGCAGTGGACACCGCTGCCCCGCTCAGCACAGGTCTCTAGACTCTAGACACTGTCTTCTCCTTCTCCCATCTTTAGATCATAACTGATGTCTTAACTATTATGTACTTTTTGTTTGACTGTCTCTTGTTTGTTTGCTGTGTTGGAACACAAATGTTTGTCTAAATGCAGACTAAAGTGGGTTTGGTATGTGTGTAATACATTAAACAGGAGGCGATGGGGCCTCCAGTGCTTCAGTGGATAATAAGGAGGCGGTTTTAGGGGAGGAGGACTTGGTGACTGTGTCCTATATGGCAGAGGAGCTGGACTTAGAGACAGTTGGGGACATCATAGCTATTATTGAAGAGAAGGTAAATCAGACATGCACTTTTTCATGCTTTTTTTAATTACTCAAATTCTTTTCTTGATGTCTACTTTAATATGTTTTGTGCCAATGTTATATTTTTAATTTATACAATATTTAATATTTTGTATTATTTGGTCAAAAATAGAGTAAAATTAATAATATTGTGAAATATTATGACAATTTTAAAATGTTTTCTATTGTAATATATTTTGAAATAAAAAATTTTCTTGTGATGGTAAAGCTGAATTTTTCCGGATTCTTTGATGAATAGAAATTTCAAAAGAACAGTTTTTAATTGAAATAATAATATTTTGTAACATAAATGTCTATGTCTATTACTGTCAGTTTTTAATCAACTTAATGCATTCTTGCATTAAGAGAATACTTAAAAATAAATTAAATAAATTAATATAATAAAATAAAAAATATAAAAATACTGACTTAACTTTTGAACGGTATGTGTAGTTATTTATTAATTTAAAATGTTTATAGTTATATAATCGTATTTATGTATAAGTAATTATGATTTATATTTGGAAGAAAAGGCAAATAGAACACAATATTAGTTCAGTAGTGAGGATAAGCTTGGCTTTCAAGAGCAAAATGATGGATAAATGAAAATTAAACAAATAATTTTTGAGTATGTGGGATTTCCAAGTTTGAAAACACACGAATTTGAAAAAAGAAACCAGATTTTTTCTTCTTCTCATTTTTCCTTTGAGGCACAATAGCTACCATTTGAACACAATGAAACCATTATATTGAGCAGAATGTAAAAATAAAACATCAAACTGGTTTAAACTAGTTAACATTGCAGAAATACACAATTATCCATTAAATCATTACCACTCAAATATTTCTGTCTATTGGACATTTCTTGCATAGTCCAAAAAACAAAAACATTATCCCGTGTTGATGTAGGGTGATGAGAATGCCGAAGCACTGGACGCTGCAGCGGTGGAAGCCGCTCTGTCTCTGTGTGAAGACACGGGTCACAACCTGTCGGGTCCCTGGGAGCCCAACCCCTTCAGGACCATTGGCCCTGAGCCCTCCAGCACTTTAGAGGACTTAGACCCACATTCCCTGCATCTGTTAGAGGGGAAGCGAGAGGGTCCTGACATGTGTGGATCCAGCAGTGGCTGTGCACAGGGGTACACAACACCCTCCACCACTGTCCCCTCGGTTCCTCAAGACCCCACTCCGACAGCAGGAGCCCATTCAGACCCAGTTGCCCTCAGACCGGAGCACACTGACGAGACCCAGGATGGGCGGCCAGAATCACTGCACACTGTGATCAAAAGTGAGACTGACGAATGGACACCGTCTCAATCAGGTATTCTGTGCTTGTGTTACACTAGGGCAAATTAGTTAATGATTTGACAATGAAGAAAATTAACATACTGTTCAAAAGTTTAGGGTGAGTAAATTGTTTTAATTAATACTTTTATTGAGCAAGTTTGCATTAAAAGTGACAGATTTTTATTTCAAATAAATGCTATTCCTTTGAACATTCTATTCATCAAAGAATCCTGAAAAATCCACAAAAATATTAAGGAGCACAAATGTTTTCAATATTGATTTTGAGCACCAAATCAGCATATTCGAATGATTTCTGAAGTATCATGTGACAATGAAGTAATGGCTGCTATAAATTTGGCTTTGCCCTCACAGGAATAAAGTACATTTTAAAACATATTATTTAGAATTTTAATAATATTTCACAATATTACTTTTTTTTCTATATTATTGATGAAATAAATGCAGCCTAAGTGACTGAAGTATACTTCATATATTTTTGGGCAAAGACAACGTTTTAAGATGGTGTCATACTGTCAAATTATTGTAACGAGAAAAAAAATCAAGTAATGAAATTCTTAATAACATTTATCAAAATTTTAGTGACAGTGATAGTTCAGGTTGATGTCAAGTGGCGTGAACCCCAACAAACATAATATTTATAGATAATAATGCATAAAAAATGTTTTTATCTTAAAAATGAATTAAAAAACATTTAATAAAATAATGACAAGATGTTTACATTAAAGTCATTGAACCTAAACTTCTTTTTAACCCATATGAAACCAACATGATTACAAAGAGTAAATTTCTAAGAACATGAATTTTAAATTACATGTGATAAACGTGAGAAAATTCTAACTTGAACCCTATTTTACACACAATTTTGGTAGGACTCACAGATGTTCCTTTCTCTTACAGATACACGGTCAGAAGATGACCCTGTGATAAAACAGCACTCAAAGGTGTGTTGATGCTGTGACTGTCTGCATACGCTAATACATAATGTACCACCCACGAGTACATATAGACCCGGAAAGCATTAAAGGGATAGTTCAACCAAAAATTCTGTCATTAATTACTCACCCTCATTTCGTTCTTACGGTTGAAGCCCTGATGTCACATGGATTATTTTACCGATCTCCTTGCTATGTTTCTGGGCCTTGATCGTGTAAAGACACTTGCTGTCTATGGGAGGGTCAGAGAGCTCTTAGATTCCATCAAAAATATCTTAATTTGTGTTCCGAAGATGAACGAAGGTCTTACGGGTTTGGAACGACATGAGGGTGAGTAATTAATGACAGAAGTTTCATTTTTGGGTGAACTATCCCTTTAACTCTGCCCTTTTTAGTATTTTTTTACACTCCTCGTTAACAGGAAGTGAAAGAGGAGGAGGAAGCCGTGAGTGATGCTGAGGAGGGCAGTGTGTCGGCGATGAAAGCTGGATTAGAAGGGGATGGAGTCGAAGATTGTGGGGGAGAAGAAGATGGAGATCTCTCCGAGCCAGAGGGGGAAACAGAGTTGGATCCTCCGGCCAGCGAGAGTGAGGACGGCTATAGCATGCACACGGCATCCTCTTCCGTACAGCTCCACACAACTGCAGACTCCATACCCAGCAGCCCTGCCTCCTCACAGTTGTATGTGCCGAAACTTCACATAATTAAAGGGATAGTTCACCCAAAAATGAAAATCATGTCACTCCGAACCAGTAAGACATTCGTTCATCTTCGGAACACACATTAAGATATTTTTGATTAAATCTGAAGGCTTTCTGACTCTGCATAGGCAGCAACGCAACTGACACGTTCAAGGCACAGAAAGGTAGTAAGAACAATGTTAAAATAGTCCATGTGACATCAGGGGTTCAACCTTAATTTTATGAAGCTACGAGAATATTTTTTTTGTGCAAAGAAAACAAAAATAACAACTTTATTCAACAATTTCTTATAAATGAAGTCGTTATTTATCTTTTATTTGTGCACAAAAAGGGTTTAGAATGACATGAGGGTGAGTAATTACAGAATTTTAATTTTTTGGGTGAACTATCCCTTTAAGGAGCATTCGCGTTAAGTCTGATTAAATATTTCTGATGATTATGATTATACTTTAAAAATATTTAAAAGAATAATTCACCTAACATGAAAATTTGCTAAAGATTTACTCCAGGATGTAGATGTTTGTTTCTTCATCGGAACAGATTTGGAGAAATTTAGCATTGCATCACTTGCTCACCAAAGGTTCCTCTGCAGTGAATGGGTGCCGTCAGAATGATCCACAATAATCCACACGTCTCCAGTCCATCAATTAACGTCTTGTTAAGCAAAACACTGCGTGTTAGTAAGAAGCTAATACATTATGGTATTTTAACGTTAAACCGTTGCTTCTCACCAAAATATGAGTCCAAAATCCATAATAATGCTTCCTCCAGTGAAAAAAGTCCATCTCCTGTTGTCCTCTCACATCAAAATCTACTGAGATATTTGTTTTGAACTAGTTTTCACATGTAAATGGTGCTTTATCTGTGCATATTTCTCTCCCCGATCATACTATACAACTTTTTCACTGGCGAAAGCAATATTATGGATAGATGACTCATATTTTAGCTGGAAGCAACAATTTGAAGTTTAAAATGCTTAGTAATGGATTTGTTTATTAGAAACACGCAGATTTTCTTTTCACAAGCTGTTAACTGATGGACAGGAGTCGTGTGGATTACTCGTGGAACATTGTGCTGTTTTTATCTGCTGTTTGGACTCTCATTCTGATGGCACCCATTCACTGCAGAGGATCCATTGGTGAGCAAGTAATGTAATGATATTTCTCCAAATCTGTTCAGATGAAGAAACAAACTCATCTACATCTTCGATGGCCTGAGAGTGAGTAAATTTTCATGCTTGAGTGAACTATTCCTTTAATACTTTTTGTGTAATTTAGTCACGTCGGACTTGGTGTAAACATACTCTGATGTACGATTATTCAACATGCTATTATTACATAATGTTCTCATCTTCATCCTCCTCAGCTCTATCTGCAGTGAAGATCAAGAAGCAATTCAGGCTCAGAAGATCTGGAAGAAAGCCATTATGTTGGTGTGGCGAGCAGCAGCCAATCACAGGTGAGAGTCTTCATTACTCTCTACCAAACCCCGCCCCCTTCTGACGAGCTATCTGACTTGTCAAAAATCCTCAGTTCTGCACAGCCAGAATGATAAAACTGAGTGGTAATTGGTCACTTTAAACAGGTATGCAAATGTCTTCCTGCAACCAGTGACGGATGACATCGCCCCTGGTTACCGCAGTATTGTGCACAGGTGAGAGCGAATTGTTGAAGGTAAATTCAAAGGGTTTGTAATGAGGAATCCAATTGTGCTTGATGTTTTGAGATAAAGCTGAAGTACCTACAAAGTCTTTGTGACAATTTCGGGTTCTTAGGCCAATGGATCTGTCCACCATCAAGAAGAACATTGAGAACGGGCTGATCCGCACCACAGCTGAGTTCCAGCGCGACATCATGCTGATGTTCCAGAATGCGGTGATGTACAACAGCTCGGACCACGATGTGTTCCACATGGCCGTGGAGATGCAGAGAGATGTTCTGGAGCAGATCCAGCAGTTTCTGGCCACACAGTTGATCATGCAGACCTCGGAATCAGGCATCAGTGCCAAGAGCCTGCGTGGGAGAGACGCCAACCGCAAACAGGACCCCAGTGACAAGGTGGGACACTTTATGTGCCATAGCACTTTTACGCTTTTGCACATTTCATCAGAAGATTCTGGATAACTAATATTAGTCTATTGAAACAGGATATGTGTATGTACATATGGATATATATGTAAACAAATAATCGTGATTAATCGCATCCAAAAAAAAAAGTTTTTGTTTACATAATAAAAGTGTGTACTGTGTATATTTATTATGTATATACAGTGGGTACGGAAAGTATTCAGACCCCCTTAAATTTTTCACTCTTTGTTATATTGCAGCCATTTGCTAAAATCATTTAAGTTAATTTTTTTCCTCATTAATGTACACACAGCACCCCATATTGACAGAAAAACACAGAATTGTTGACATTTTTGCAGATTTATTAAAAAAGAAAAACTGAAATATCACATGGTCCTAAGTATTCAGACCCTTTGCTCAGTATTTAGTAGAAGCACCCTTTTGATCGAATACAGCCATGAGTCTTTTTGGGAAAGACCCAACAAGT